TCAATTACCCGACCCTGGCAACCCCGTTGTGTGTTAAACCCCTAAATTACCACACTTCTGCTCTAGCAGGGAGTCTTTCCAACCAGCTGCTGTCACCTAGGATATATAACTATGTGAACAAGTCCAGAGAGTCAGGAATGCCCTCCATCTGTGTTTCGCCCAGCAAAAGCCAACTGCGGTTGAGAAGGCATGAAACTGAATCCATGTCAACAGGGCACTGAGTCAAAAATAAGGAACTGAGCTTGAGCCCAGGGCTGTACCAAAGTATCTACTGGGTTTCTGAATTGCTGGGGGCTTGGGCCAGGGAAGGCTGGGCTGTGGGTGTCTCTCAGGCCCACTCTGAAGCAGCACACAGAAAAGCAGGTGAGGAGAGAACAGGCGTTTCAACAGACTGCGGAAGATCAGAGAATGCAATAAGCCCAAACCATTTTAGTTCTTCAAAACCAGAGCCAAAATGAAAGTCATTACAGTAAGACGAACTTGTGTTTTCAGGAAGGTTAATGACCAAATTCTACACAGTTTGATGTTAGGAGAGATTACTGGCACAAGGTGAGATTTGTGTCGCATGACACAAGCACTACATAATTGCTTAGCTATAACGTCCCACTTTTATGCTCATGATTGTTTAAAGATTTATTTAAGTTGCTTTTATTTTTCAGTGCTCTGTTTTTCCAGCTGCCAAATAAATTGTGTGATTGATAATTTAAAAATTTGTGGTGTCTCTTTGGTGTTATAGATATTGTATGATAGCATGTGCAATAAAAAAACTTGCCCTCCTTTGTCAAGGAAGTTGACACACACATAAATTGCCATTCTGAAGTCTTTCTTCAGCATTTACACACAGTATAGCAAATACGAGCACATCAAAAGCTTGCAATCTAATACAATAAATTGCAGTTGTACTATCAATCTTTCGGTAGAAACACTTATTGCTCAGCTAGCTAACATTTAATAGCTTTTTACGAACCTGAGTGACTCATGTATAATTTAAAGCTGCACATAATCTCTAAAATAATAGAACAGGAGTATGAACATCGTATGTAGGTACAGAATGAGTAATATATATATATATAGTCAAGAGTATAATTACATATAAATAAACTATAGGTAAAAATATGTATAGGCTTAAGAGAACTGCAGTATAAAAATTCTTTTTGAGCACAAATTAGTTTGGGGCAAACAAATCTGCCTGTTATGAACAGCAGATTTAAGGTTTGGTTTGACTTCAAGCAATTGCTTTGAGTAGCATTTTCAAGAGGTGTAATAAAAACATCAACAACATTTACAAGCCTTACCTTGCCTATGTATTTTCACCATCAGATCTGCAACAGTCCTGCTGCTAAAGTTCTATACAGGTAGGTTATTTCCAGGGGATGAAAAAGGAATTCCTTAATATTTCTGACTATATGATGCTTGTCAGAAAATAAACAAATACCAGTATAACTAACGACTGCAGATCTTCCTAGAATTAGTATAGCATCTACAGGGAGTAGTTTGTGGAGAGATAATCTAGAGTATCCCAATTTAGACTTACTACTATATGACAAACATCAGATTTACTACTAAATGACAAACATCAGGGGCACTGTGAGATGGTACTGAACGTAGTATTGCTTGCCCAGCTGGAGACGCTGCCTCATCTTTCCTTCCTCTGTAAACACCAGGTCCCTACCTTGTCAATAACACTCTGCCCTAATTCTGACGATACTCTGATTTTTGTTTTCTCCTTTTCCACTATCCAAAAGAATATCTACACAATTAAAGAAGATAGTGATACTTCAGCCATTTATACTCTTTAGGACAAATTACATTGTTAAGCTTATTAAATATTTTATTGCTTATATTTCCAAAATAAGATTCATTTATTATAGAATCACTTATTAGAGAATGTAGTAATTTTACAATTACTGCCTTTGCATACCTCTAAAGGAATGGAACTTATAACAAAGGTATTTCCTCTTTTTTCCTTCATTCATTTCCATCACCCTCTTTTCCATCACCATCCTAATTTTTTTATATTGTCATGAGTTACAAATGTGTTATCACAACTGTTTCAAGGCCACATGTTTCAATAGTTGATATTAGTAAGGTTTCAGGATAGTTAACAAAATGAGGTTGTTTTTTGCTGATTGAGGATATGGCTCAACACTGAGGGATATTTTCTGTTACAAGCAATTGGAGTTGGTACACATATAAACCCTTTCCATCAATTCGAACAAATGTACACCATTTTATGTGCAGAAGTATTGTGATTCTCAAAACAGAGTAATGATTATTTCTATATTAATGAGATAAATCTAATGAAAATCAAAATATGAAAGGTAAAATGTAGTCAAATGATTAAATGACTGGTGACTGATGTTTAAATTATGTTACATGGCACATTATTGAACATTAAATGTAGCTAATATATACAGGTAATTTTTACAAAAAATATAGTTGTTACACATTTAAAAATAAAAATATAAAATTCTAAATGTTGCAAAATGCTTGAAAAATTTCTGTTTTGCTAAAAATCTGCTATCCATATAACCTATTATTCATAATAAATATTCATAATATTTAAATCTTAATCCTTTCATACAAAAAAATTCCTTTGGTATTGTACATACTACATAATTTATTCTGTGTACAGAACAATCTAGCAAAATAATTCTGCTTTATTAATAAAAATTATCTATAATGTCAAGGTTCGGTTAATTAAAAAATGTCATTTTAAGGTAACTGCAGACAGGATATCTACTGATTAGGAATAAGACACTAATAATAATAAATAAGGAAATCATGCATACTAGGTACTGTTAAGAAATAAAAGGATCAGTCATACAGCAGACAAAACAAAATGATCAGATAAAACAAAGAAATCAACTTGTTTTTCATACTTGCTTAAAACTTTTCTTAAGTAAGAAGACCTAGAGCTCCAGAACACACACAACCCTTTAAATGGTATCCCACCTATACAGGTACAGAGTCTTTCCAGGTCGTCTGATATGAAGAGGAATGGGACACTACAGATTTGTATTTACAGTCTTTGCACCACATGAACTTTCTAGGTATGGAAACACTAAATCAGCCAAGACACCAACAAACCTGGAAGTTTGTTTCTAATTTAACTAGTTAGGAAAGTACGACCATGCAGACTGGATTTCTGATTTATACAAAGAATAGGCACTCCTGACAAATGCTTAAGATGAATAGAACTGTATTATTCAACATTTGTAACAGAGACTAAATGGCTTTTAATGACCAGCTTCTTATCATAAAAATATATTTACACAATGCCTGTGAACAACTGTCCTTGCTGCAAAACCTGATGTTTATTTATACAGAAAAGAAATCTTGCCCCTATTGCACTGTTTCCTCTGGGAGAAGGAAAATAAACACAGCCGGCATTCTTTACATAAAGAAACAAAAAGAATAAAAAAAAAAATCTGAAAGCAATCCCACACTTCTCTTTGGCTTTTATTCTTCCTCATTCCTTTGTCCAATTCTTATCTCAGATATGCTCCAAGTGATTAATTTAATAGGAAACTCTCAGGGCAAAGACTAGCTAAAGTTAGTGCTATTCCCAAGTAGAACGTACATCAAGCTGTGGACTGACCCTGCACAGATTATCTCCAGAGAGTCTCTACTGAACAGCATCACACATTTTTTTTCCGTGTCTGGTGGTTTAGACTACAGTTCTTTGAGAACAGAAAAAGGCATACCTCAAAATGTGGCTGTTATTTCATCCTGAACGCTTCCTATAGCTGTAGCCTCTTTTACCACTGCCAAAGCTTTACATCTCTCACAAAACCAGGAAACAAACTTAGAAAATGGTCAGCCTGTACTTTAGTATAATTCTCCTTACCTTGATATCCATGAAATATTTACTGTAAGAATATACCTACCTCATGTTATCAGTGCAAAAATTTTACATTTACTTGCATTATTTATACATACATTAAAGTATACTGATGGTATTAAAAATAAAGAAAATCATGTAATACCTTTACTTTTACCTATGGATTTGGTGAAATGGTTCCATGAAGAAAGCATTTCCAGACAAAAAGAGAATAAAGAAGAGGAGAGAAACAACAGTAAGAGTCATGAGTACATGTAAATGTAATAGTATCTGAACATGAAGAGACAAAGTATAAGGTAAGTGTCTGAAGACAAATGGAGATGCAATCAGTGTCATATTAGGGATTTAGTTTATTTCTTCCCAATCATGTACATGCAGAGAAACACAGAAATAACCCATGCTTAGATTAAAAAAAACTGCCACAAATGTAACATGGACAAAGGTTAGGAGGAAAAAAATCACTGGTTTTGTTAGGTAGCAAAATTGTAATCTCAGCATTCCAGAAGCCAGGAGCAGGTGTTTTCTGCACATATCCAATCAGCCATGCATTAATGCAAATGGACTCTTCAATGTGTACAATGTTACAAGAGGAGCATCTTCTTTCAGGAGCTATCTGAAGAGTGGTCTTGCACTTTGTTTATCTTTTATAGGATCACCCATTATGGTATTTTCTGATAAATACATGATATTTTCTTAATCACTTTCTTATTTCTCTCACCTCTTTTTAGTTATTGTATTGCAAGAGGGGGAGTTGAGGAGGCAGGAAGGACAAAAGCTTACGGAGCAAACAAAAATACCAAAAAAAACAATAAAAAAATGAAATAAGAAAAAGATGTGACTAAAACCATGTGTTTCTTTGCAGCCAAAGACAGCTTTCAAGCATTTGCCCATCAGTTGCAGTGATGGATTCAAAGCAGCTACAGAACAAGAAGAAACAATGAAAGCAGAGTGGAAAAGGAACAGAGCCCATACCTTGGTCGCCCATCATCAGGTGCGCCAGACCTTGAAGGGAAACAAGAGCACAGTCAGCAATGAACAAGGGAGCACGGGAAGGTGGTGTTGTCACACTGACAAAAATGTTTTGTGACAGGCATCTGTTTCCTATAAGATGTCTGTATCACAGAGAGAAATCAAAGAGCATTTTTCAACCACTGGTTGGAATGCTTTGGGCTACGAGTAACAGAACTGCAATTCAAACACTGGGTGCTGATTTATTACGTTTTTTTTTTTTTTCTGTGCAGTATTTGCAATGACAGAAAAATAATGCAATGCTTTCAAATCCAACCAATTCCTTTAATAATCCGTCTGTCTTTACTGTATTTTGATTATTATTGCTTTGTACACTTTGCTGAGAGGACTTGCTGTCCTCTACATGTGAAATGATGTTTAAATCCTAGAGAAGTTTAAACCTGAAAAATGGGCTGGGTCTGGTCTTTTTCCCCTCATAAAAATGAGCATTTCAGGTAACTAAATAAAATTTCTTCATCACATTGAAATGATAATGCATAGAATGTCTCCTTATTTGTGTGAAATGTGACAGTAGAATGAATTTGTTTCAGAGAAGGTAAATCACTACATATGCAATATAAAATGCATAATAATAAAGAAAATTTAAGTGTCAGCTTCTGTAACTACTTCATAAATTTGTGAGAAATAGATTTTGCTTTATACTTATATTGTGAGATGGAATCCCATCACACCAGAATAGGTCTAGTGACATTTTAAAGCAGATGTCCATAATGATAATTGCTCATCCAGAGCCAAATTTTGTTACTCTTCAAGAAAAAATATACAATTTTTAAAATTCATGATAATAAAGTAGTACTTAAATCTCACTGAATATTATGTGATGTTGGGAGAATATTTTTCTTAGATATATGAAGGTTCTTAATTTTTTATGTCTGATTAAAAAAGCAGACTTATTCTTGTTGAATTTAGCTGTTTCAGGATCCATTTCAGAAGTTATTGGTTGTTCATGTATTAAATGTGCTCCTCTTCTCCAAAAGCCATGTATTATTTTCTTAATTGCAATTAATTGAAATTAATTCACACAAAGAAGGTGAGCAATAAAATATCCTTCTCTTTATTGGAAAGCAGATTTCCTAGAGAGATAGTTTCTGTGATTTCTAATTCACAAAGAAAATTAGGTGCACAAATGACTCACGCTACTTGGGGGTAGTTCAAAGAAGATACTCCCGACTGCAATCAGTCTAAATGATTCGTTTCTTATCAGTTTCAAATCTCAAGTGATGTTCCAAGTAGACTAACAACAGTTTTGTTGAATTATTGCTTTTTAATGTCACCAGTTTTAGACGTGTAGTTAAACTGAAGGGCCTGATGTGCCTCATCTCTTGTGCAATAAATTCTGTTTCCAAATACAGAACTCTGCAGCTGGTGGGATTACCTGGGGCTCACAGCAATGTAAATGAAAGCTGACTGTGATCCTGAAGGGATGCCTGCATCAGCATTGCTTGGGAAGCCTCACACAGTTGTACTGGCAGTTTGCAGCTTGTAAAAGAGAATAGAAATGTTTTCAGGGTTGTTCTTTCTCTGTAAGTGTTGCTGCAAGAGAGCCTCACTGAACAGACAGAGTATAAAGACCAGGTGATATTTTTAATTCATTCTTTTAGTCCTGAGTGTCCTTGCTTGGATCCACTGCCACGTGGCCTTTTGGAAGTATCAGTCTCTTCTTGTGATTGATTAACTCGTCTTTTGGGTCTTAACTTTTGGTGTTGGCAACTATAGCAAGAAATCTCAAACTTTTAACTTGGCCCTAATTGTACTGGATAAAGGAAAATTGAAACCAGTTGTACATTGCAACATTTCTTTCTTTAATGAGACAGTGACTTTTCAGCCACTACATTATGTGAGATCTTTCAGCTCTTAGAGAAGGTATGAAACAAATCACTGTCCTGTCTCCCAGGGAAATGCAAAGAAGGTGATCTCACATTTGCATATGAACTTCATAACTATACAAACCTAAACAAAAATCTAGCTTCAGATTATCATTGCTTGATAGCTACTATTTTTGTTAAAATGATATGTAAAATTGGTCGGTTCCAAATAGATGACTTACATAATTTGGAAAAAAATGTAAACAGAAGAAGTACCTCTCAAAAACCTCATAAAAACGATTTGAATTTTAAGAGTCACTTACAGTGTTGATTGATGAAAAAAGGCAGTCAAGTGATTGTAAAAGACACACTGCTCAAACCAAACATCTACCAATTAAAAAATTCAGCACTACTCCTCAAGACACTGTATTTTGTTCCACTGTCTGTGTTACATTATTTGCAAGCAGTAAGGTCACCTATACTTCCTTGCCAAAGGCACATGATGATACTTATTTTATATTTTTGCAATCTATGGATGAAGGCTATTGAAGAGTGAAGAATTACTAGTACTGTACCTGTTCATTCCACAGAATGGTTTAAATTACACAGCTAAGTCTGCCATGAGAGCAATCACTGATAGATTTGCAAAATGAAAGTCTGCTTATAATAGACCTGGGAAGTTTTGTCCTGAAGTAGCCACGTATAGACATCCCATACATTGAAAATACTCATTTGTGCACCATAACTTCAATTTCTTTATGAATTAGGAATTCAGGATTTAGAAGGAAGCGCTCATGTGTGATCCACTCAAACTTTGTCCTGAACTTGGTTCTGAGAGGAGACAGTTAAGGAGCACAAGGTGGGATAGTGGAAGGGGATATGAAGATAGGATATTTTCATAATTTGGTGTGTGAGTTCCATGCAGAGCACAGGCAAAAAAAAAAGAAAATTAAACATGATAAACCTGAAGTGAAGGTATTAAAGTGTAGTACAACTTCAGTCAAATGAAAAAACAGTAGCCTTTTTTACCAGCAGTATACGCAAAATTGAATACTACATATTTCTGTTTGCTTATGTCATCTAATTTACAGAGATGCTCAGATATCACAGAGATCAAAGATGAAAAATTTTAGCTCAGATTTCAAGTTGTGCTTTGGATACACAATTCTATGCTTCAATTTTAAAAATATTCATGCTTTGTAACTTTAATAAATGCCTAAGTATCCAGACCTGTGTTGGAATAAATTTAAGGTTGCAGTTTTAAGAATTAGGTTCAGGTAAAGTCTAGATTAACTGTTATCCAGGTTTTATCTTGTACTCCTGTGCATAAATGAATATGTGAAATGCAATTGAACCTCCTTATCAAGTTATACTGCACCTAATTCAAATTTTGAGACTCATGTTGACACCAGCAAGAGTTTTATGCACAGATCAAATACAAGATTAGGTAGTTATTTCTAGGCTTTTATGTTTTTCATCTAGAATTTTTATCCCAGTGTTGCTGAATACATTTTTATTTCACAGTGGAAATGAAATTTTATTGACATGTGCCCACAAGTAAAGCACCAGAATCGTTTGAAATTTCCTTCTCCTTGGGAAAACATATATATCAATAATTTTGCAGAGCGTCATCTATGTGCTAAATCTGAGCACCTGTCTTCACCCTTGAATACAGCAGCATAGAGAAATGAAGCACTAGCACTTCAAGTCTTCTTGAGAAAATCACCCCTGAACAGGCAGGCAGTGGCCCATGGTGAGTTGAAACCTGAATGAGCTCAGGCCCCAGAGTGGCTCACATGAGCATCCTGAGTCAGAGTCATTCCAGGACAGTCACTTTGCATATGTGTTAGTTTACAAAGTCCTTGCTTTTGAAATAACTTTTAAAATATTGGAATGAAATAAAATGAAAGCAATTTTTCAGTTTAGATAGGTAAACTATTTTTTTCAAATAAATGATTGTTTATCCAGTATGCAAAGATTCACCCCAGAGAGACTTTTAAAGACATTTGTACATGCACCTGCAGTTTTTGTCTTATAAGCAAAAAGACTTTAAAACTATCATATATTTGCATGTTTTACCAGCTAATAAACTTACTTACCAATATTCAGGATAGATGGCATTGCGCCTTAGTTTCCACTGCCCTATGCCATACTTTAAAGTGACTTAATTACATATCAACATAATTATTAAAATCACATGCTTCTTTCACAATGTCCAAAAGGCAAGTACATTATGCTGGAAAGTTAGACAGAAAACCTTTGTTCCTAAAGCTTTGTGCTGTAAAGGATATTAGAGTAAGCAAGGTTTGTGGTATTAAAGAGAAAAGCGCTTTCCATTTTCCTAAGCAATTAAAATATGAGAATTTAACATGCATTATTATCTTATTGGGAGGATTTAGACTCCACATTGATGAGACAAATAGTTTCTTGAAATGTTTTTCATACAGAACATGAGAAGAAATCAGTCCTGCAAATCTCCAGAAAGATTTTGGATATGGTATCAGTCACATGAGTATAAATCCTGTTGTTTCAGTGGGGATATTCTGGAATTACAGCAAAAGGCCAAGGAGCCTTGCTTGTGTTCTGTATGAAAAAATAAATCACATCTATTTAATAAACTTATGCCTATATGGGGGACAAAACACAACTTACCGTATTGAATGATATGTGTACTTTTATAACATTAAGCAGAAGGAAAATAAACCCCACTGAACAGAAGGGGAAAATAAGAGCTTAGGAAAATAAGGTAGAAAGCACCCACCTTCCACATAGTTGTCTTCTGTAAGCACATAACAGGGAAGGAGAGAAAAGGAAAACATTCATTAAGCAGCATGCAGACTGGAACTTGCCATTGCATGTCTTCATCATGCAAGGCATCAAATACAACATGCAAGTGCTCCATTGCTACAATCCAGAGGGAAAAACAAAAGCACTAGGGAAGCAGTGTTTCCTCTACTTAACAAAATGTATGTGATATGAAACAAATTACTCTTGCCAAAGTGCAAATATTGTACAGGATTTAGTGCAGCTCTTTGTACATGCAACAACTATTATTGTTAGCTATTAATCAGAGGGTTTCTTGTAAGACTTTTGTAACTATATATTTTAAAACCACCAGTCATTTGTTATAGAGATTCTAAATTCATTTGGTTCTACTTCCCCATTCTG